CAATCTATAGCAGTCTTGCTAGGTCAGGTGGTTGTAGTTTACGTCACAAGAGCTACCTTGTGTATTTGTAACTTCCGTAACTTGAATAAAAGCTTGTTTTTTGGGAAGGACTTGTTCGGTTAGGCCTAACACTTCATGAAGATTTCTTGGATGCCATTGCAGCCCTTCTGCAGGTCTTCATTATCTGATTTCTCAATAAGGAAATAGATGGTCTCCCCAAGTATGACCGGGGTAATTATCTAAAATAATGAAAACCATTGCTTCTGAAGAAAGATGAAATTGACTAAAAATTTTTGACATTTCAAAGTAAAAAAACAAAGAAAGTTTTACGAAGTTTATCCTGTTTCTATAAATAAAGTGGCAAAGGCCCTTTGCCTTTATTTTTCGTCTCTTTCCAAAGAGAGATTCCCAATTTCACCTATTTTATGACATTAGTTTATTCTAAACGATCAAAATATATATATATATATATATATTTATGTTTTTATAGAAATAGTAGATGATATTCGTTTAAAATTTAAAGAAAATAAATTTATATTTTAAATATAGAAGTAAATAATAAAATTAAAATTTATATTTCTTATACAGTAAATTAAAATGTTCAATAATACTACTGAAATATTTTTTTTACACCGGTTCATAAAAAAAAAAGGTAAATCAATGATTGAAAATAAATAAATAAATGTTTTAAAGAATTAATCTCCACTAGCACTTGATGGAGTTCGGAAGGTAAACTATTCACAATTCTCTTATTGATTGAGATTTAGATATTAGTTTTCTTAATTTGAAATAGTTAATAAAATGATAAGTTATACTAACTCAGTTAAAATATCACACTAATTACTGATACGGAAAACTGAAGGTTAGTGAAAATCACAAAATAACTAATAGAATCTTTAATTTAAGTAAATTCATTTAACATTAAAACGTTTATTTCATATATACCGTTACCAGTTTACCGAAATCAACTTAATAAAATAAATACTCATATAATATTATGACTTTATGTACAAGTTAACGAGATTAGCAATTCTCATTTTTTTTATATGTTTACTGGAATCACTGAGGATTCATAGGGATATTCTCTTACCCGTGAACCTAAATTTAAATTTATCAACTAACCCGACTATTCCCATATCTCATCCGGTGATGAGCGCCAAGGATATCATAATCTCGATACCCCATCCGATATGAGGATAAACCATATCCTTCTAACCCTTTGGTATAGGACTTCTTAAATTTCGTCCGACTGAGATAATGTCTACAATAGGATTCTCTACGTACCAAGTCCGTCCACTTTTTCCCAAGGTATCCAATAAGTCTTACTTATATGGGATCACACCACAAACCGATTATCAGTTACGTACCAATATCTTATGTTTCCACATTAATGATAAATCATGCAAATAGCCAATACGTACATCAAGAACATAATTGAGACATTTATTACAAGACAAACAGAAAAAAGAAATGTGTAATGAAGTAAATCAAACAATCGAGGAAACGATCAAAACTATCAATTTAGTACGCATAATATCGTAAATAATTTAATCAGTACCGAAAAATAAACAGTGAATTATGATAAATATGAACTGATCAGTTTCGACTCCATTAATAACCTGTAATTATTTTTAGAGTTTTTCTAATTTTTACAAAATGCAAGATTATCGATTATTTAAGCTTCAATTTACCGTAATAGGGAATAGAGTGAAGGATTCTTACTCGAATCGGTGTTTGAAATATCGTACCATCTACTACGCATTCTGACGGTTCCCAAGTTTCTTGAATTTTTCCTGTAAAAATAAAAATACTCGTCACATACATAAAAATACCCAAAAATGCCAAAATCAGTGTTGAAAAACCTTTTTAGCAAATTTTAGAGTTCCAGCATGGCCGCGTCATTATGCTTCAACGCCGACTTTGCCGCCCACGATGGCATTTCGCATCAGTCTAGTCGGTTTTGGTCGAAATTTTACTCAGTTTTATATGTATCTCTACGAAAAAAATACATTAGGGAGTCTTGATTGGTTGGAAAAATTAAAAAACTGAATCCTACCAGCGGGGGGGTCTCCAGGTGCAGCGGCTCCACTAGTCCTCCTTCACGGCTAGGGTTCCTCTTCGACTAATGTGCACCAAAAAATGACGGTGAATACAATAATTAAAAAATTGTGTGAAACGAAAAACGGGAAGGGAGTCATCCGAGAGAGTTTCGGGTTTTGGTCGCGGTGGCTCAACCGAGCTTTGCTTGCGATTTTCGGCTCACCCATCGATTCTTTGGCTCCAATATGGTCACAGGGAGGCTTAGGATGGAATTTCGAGCGAGAGATGAAAGAAAGTACTTGTTTTGATTTCGACTATGGCCCTGATACAACATTGACGACGGTTGGTTTCTTTTTCGACCACTCTTCTTCCCCTTTTTCGGTAAGGACTAGTGTGGTTAGGGTTAGAGTTCCTTAAAACGCGATTCTTAAATACCCTCCTTATGTCGATCTAGACCATACGTGCAGGAATACGTGGTTCTCTCTTGTCTGTTGAATCTTTCCTATTCGAAAAATGAATTTAGATCGTATAATTAGATTGAATCTGACCGTTCGATAGTGCTTGAATGAGAAATGTATCTTTGCTGTCTGTGCGCATGGGACGTGATCTGAACCATTGGATTGTCAAGCACGAGGATCACCCTCGTGGCCTCTTGTGTAGTGTCAATGTCAAAGTGTTTTGTTACGCGGTGTACTCTGATTTGCCATAATTGCTGACTGGATCATCCCACATGGCTGAATTTTTCGATTTTATCATATGCTTTCAAGTTTTCTTTCAAAAACACATTCCTTATTCAGAACTTCACTTATTTTTTTTCAAAATTATTTTTAATTTCTGTCTCTAACTTATTTTTTCTTAAAAATATAATAATATTCAATTAAAAATAAATTTTTTATTATTTATATATTTATTGAATGAAAAAAAATAATTATCTCGAATCAATTTCTAGACCCAAGTATTACTACATTACGTACTAATAAATCTATAACTCATCAATTCCATTTAATTGATTTTGATCTTTTATGGCATTTTTTTTTAAGATTTGTAAGAATACAAAGTCATAAGTTAATAAATTTTATAAACTCTTAAAAATATTAATTATATTTGATTAACTGTATTTAATTTTGAATTATTAATATGAATAATTAAATATATATATATATATTCATAAAAATTTTAGGGAATTTTAAAAGAGAGTTTTAATTAAAATATAGAAAAGAGAAGGGGGATCCTTTTTATGAGTTAAAAAAATATATTTTTAAATATTATACTTAATAATAAAAATGATAATAATAGTTTAATAAATTGCAATATTAACACTGAATTTGAAGATCACCAAACGCGGCCTTATCTTCTCTCTCATGGCATGAACCTTCTGCACACAGCACAGAAGCATTTTATCTTTTATCTTCCACCGGTAACGAAGTCTCTCTCGACTCCTTCATCTTTGGAGACCTGAAATTTTTACACTTCAAGTAGACTATTGGTAGATGTTCGAGGATAAAATGCTCCTTCAAACCGCCATCATCTCTTCTCCAACTTCTCACCAAATATTTCTGGCTCCAACGGGTTGTCAGTCTCTCTCTCTTCTCTCATCTGGCTCTCTCAAGTTCAGGCGCGGGAAGCTCTCTCTTCGGGTAAAAAGCCCTTTTTTGTCAATCGGCACGTTCATTGTCCTATTTTCTGGTTGCTGTATTATAATCTGGCGTATTTTGGCTAGTCGTTAGTGCTTTTCTTAAGTTTTGGTAGAAGTGGAGGAGGATTTAGAGTTGCAGGATTTGTAGTTTCGATCTAAATCTGCTTCTTTGGTTAGAGCTAAATGGAGAATTGTAGCCAGATTTAGTGGAGAAATTATGGGCAGAAGAATTTTTTTCTAAGGTTTGGGGAAACCAAAATGGATGATTCTAACAGGGTTTAGCTGTGTTTGAAAATTGGAAAAAAAAAATTTGTGGGTTGTAGCTCTTATATGAAGTTTCCACTTTTTGCCTTGTGGCAAAGAATTGAATGAGGTGGAGATGGTTCTTTTAGCTAGGATGCAGAAAATGGATCAAGCTGAACTGAACTGGTTTTTTATTTCTCAAATTTCTAACCATAATTTGTTCTTTCAATCCCTGTGTTTTTCCTATTTGAGATGCTCTGGTGGTCCAGTATTCTCCCTTTCTAAAATGCTTTCGTAATGTATGCGACAACCTTCTAGAATTTATGGTGAGATGTTAAGCATCTTCTTGAATTTTTATATGATTATCCTTTTTGATAGAGTGGCTCGAAAAGTTTCTCCTGATTCTGGGCTTCCTGTAATTCAGGCGCTAATTTGTTTTTCTTAAACAATTGTGGATGAAGGCAGATATTTGGAAAGAAATTGGCAATGCGATCATCCACCTCGACAAATTTGGAGAGTAATTTCCTGATTCTTCTTAGTGTAATTTGATTTTAGTTTGCCTTAGTAGTGCAGGGGACAAAATTCATATACGAAAGGGGGATTTAGCAGTTTTCTACTTGTTTCATAAACTAGGTCTTTCATGAACACTGCCCATGTCAATTTATTTATTTTGAAATTGCTCACACTGAAAGATCAGAAAGCTCTGCCTGTCAGTTTGAGATTTTAAAATATGTTGATGGTTGTCATGACCCAGTGGTTTCTGTGTGCAAGGCTAAGCCCCTTCGTCTTGGAATTCAACTCTTAAACCTGCAGTTGTAAAGTGATCTTATTTATGCATTTGTCTGTTAAATATATATACACCCACACATATGCATGCATGAAAGAGAAGTTCCCATTAAAGTTAATAACTAAACAACTGGCCGCTAAAGAATCATATAATCAACAGCCATATTGTCAGTTGTTCAGCCTGATTTTTTTTTTGTGGCTTATTTCCTCTGTTTTAACTGCACAAAAAAAAATATCTGATGTAAAAATTTGTTCTATCATATAAAATTGATAGCAGATAATAGTACTTCCTGTTTCCATATTACT